GGGATCTTCTCCTCCTCCTCGGCCCGCTTGACCATCTCCGAGATGAGCGCGGCGAGGTCGTGGGAGCACCGCAGGGCGTTGGCCTCCTGGGGGCAGTGGTGGAGGACGTAGTACTGCAGCACCAGCGTCTCCCCGACCACGGAGCGGAAGTGTCCCGCCAGGAGGCGTCCCAGGTGGCTCTTGCCCACTCCGCTGGGGCCGTGGAGAGACACCACCAGGGGCTTGTTGTGGACGTAGGTGGACAGGTAGTCCTTCAGGTGGGACAGCAGACCGTCCACCGCTCCCTGCTGCCCAAACACCTCTCTCCTCAGTGTCTTCTCCAGCCCCTCCAGGTCGTACCTGAGAACGTGGTCATCTAGGTTCTCTATGGCGTTGTACACCTGGAAAGAAACAGATATTAATATACAGTATATACCGTAGCTGAGTCCCAGTTCACAGTTAGTATAGAACAGTAAATTATGTCTAACAGAAAACAACAATTGTCAATCAGACTGCAACTTTAAAAAGTAATCTTTCAAAAACGCGAGAGAGTTGAGAAGATTGATACCACACATGTCTGCACGGTAAACATGAAACTACATCCTGCGGCCGATTAGCTTAGCATAAAGACTGGAAGCAGCTAGCTGGCTCTGCTTAAAAGGTAACAAAATCTGCTCACAGCACCTGTAAAGCTTATTTTATCTTCTTTGTTAAATTCGCACAGAAACCGAAGTGTAAAACCGGTTCGTGACGTAGCTCCTTTGTAGCCTAGCGTTAGCTTTTCACTTCTGCTCATTGTATTCACGCTTCAAAAATCACAAAAGTGATGTTCGTTTGAGTAGATTATCTTGCTGAACAAAACGTGTAAATATTATAAACGTTCGATGCCAACTTCCTGTTGGACTACAAAAGTACAACATCTAGTCATCTCATTTAGCCACTTGTTAGCAACCGCCATTGCCTAACAAGTAGGGGTGGGGGGAAAAAAATCGATACAGCATAGTATCGCGATATTTTGCGTGGCAATATTGTATCGATACACGGACGCCAAGTATCGATCTTTTATTATAAACTATGAAAAAAAACAACTTTTTTTTTGAAAAATCAAATCAATTACTTTTTCAGTCCACTAGATGGTGCTGCGTTATTTTCTGGTGAGGTCAGCAAAGGAAGTTGGTCAAAACAAAGAGAGACATCTGGCCTCACAAAGAGGTTAAATCTGCCAACAGTAGCCAGGCTCATGGGGAGAGTGCAGCACATAACTGTCTCTCTGCCCTCGACGTCCACGCATCACAAGTTATACTGAGTTACACAACTCTTATATCCTACTTATATAAGTTATAGTTCATATACTGAGTGCACACGTTTGGATTCAGTTAAGTTGGACTATGTAGTAATACATTCAGTTTGTCAAGTTCATGCAACATTTATGACATTGTTGGTCAGTCTGTCTGCTTGACAATCCTATTCTGCTGCAATAAAAATGATTGAAGTGAGATGAACAGACTGAAAACTTTATCTCATTAGATAAAACATGTTGACACAGTTTTCCTTTGGGGACATCATTTGAAGTGGAAAAAAGTAATAAATTGCAATAGAGGCCTATGGTATCGCAATACTCAGAATATCAGTATCGTGATAATATTGTATCGTGACCTAAGTATCGTGATAATATCGTATCGTGACGTAAGTATCGTGATAATATCGTATCGCGGGACCTCTGGTGATTCCCACCCCTACTAACAAGTGCCTTTACTGAGGTAATAAATCAAGAGAGAAGTAGAGTCATTTTCTCATAGACTTCTACACAACCAGAGGAGTCGCCCCCTGATGGACACTAGAGAGAATGCAGCTTTAACACATGAAGCATCGGCTTCACTCAGTGGAACAGGAGGTTGCTGCCTGGTTGCTCCACAATATGATGCGTTTTTCATTGTTTTGTTTTTTGACATCAGCAAACTGAAACACATTTGGACCCGTTAGAAATGTTTATGTTATTCGTAAAGCCGTGAGATACTTACAACAGCCTTAAGTCAGAAACACTTAAGGCTGGATTAAGTCAACAAAGAGGCCCTGAGTTATGAATGAATGAGCAGTGGGAGCCGAGACAGACTTAAGAATTTCAGTAATGATGCATGACTCACGTAGACCTGAAATACATTTTTAGTGAATAAATGATGACGTGACCCAGCATGTTTGGTCTATATTTACACCCTGCGTCGTCAAACAGGTGTTAGCTCCTTTTACCTGGACGAAGACGATGGCGAAGAGCAGGTAGAGGCAGTACTTGGCTCGGCTTTGCTCCTGCTTTGGAGGGGCCCGCCGCCTCCCTCTGTTGGGATACAACACCCCTTTCCTCCTCCTCCTCTTCTTCTTCTGGGGGACGGAGGACAACAGGGTGGAGGAGAACGACGTGGGTCCGTCAAAGGTGAAGATCTTGGGGCTGGTTTTCGACGGCGCCCCTGCGGGTTTCCCGTCCGCCCCGAGCTCCAGCAGGGCCATCTCCTGACGCCTCTTCTTCATGGCCCGGTACTTCTGTTTGATGCGGATGACGGCGTGCAGAGACGAGGAGAAGCTGGACAAACTGAGGACGTGACTGTCCCTGAGTGTTCCGTCTCTGTCTCCTTCACCATCCAACTCCGTGTCCATCTCTCCCTCAACCTCTCCCTCCGTTTGAGAGCTGCTGTCTTGGTCGCTCATCTGCAGAGAGAAAGCAGCTAAAATCAGTATTTTTCTTATATTCACAATGACTGCTTTTATGAGAAAGGAGTCGCTCGTGGTGACAAACCCATCTGCTCTACGGAGCAGCTGTTTGTTTTGGGAGATGCTTGTTTGTCTATCCTGAACTTTGCATTTCGGGCCCACACTATCGAACACAAGACCAAAGACCCTATTTGTGGGAGCAGATCAGCCGGGCGGACGCTGAATGTTGCCTCGTCTCTCCTTGCTCAAAACACCAAGTAAAACAAATAGATAGTAGGTATGTTGCCACTTCTCTGTCAGAAAAAGGCGAGAGAAAAGGAGGAGGGACATAGAGATGCCGTATACGTCTCTGGTAGAGACCTGTCAATCACCGTGT